CTTCCAAGCACCGATCGTGGCTTCGCACTGAATTTTGAATCCGGTGTCTGAGTTCAAGATATCTCAGGATGCACAGTAGAGGGAGCATCCGTTGCTAACAGCCTTTGGCTCATTGATTGTTGGAACCAGGGATCTCTGCTGCCATTAGCGGTGCCCCGGTCCGTTACCGCCGAAGAATCGCGGTGTTTGTCGATTTCGCGCCAAGAATTGACCGTCAACAGACCTTAAGATCAAGCGAACCTGTGCAAGGATGGAGGCAGGTTCGACTATCCGTCAAACCCAATTATTAACAGTGTTCTCAGTATTGCTCATACGGTATCATTGTAAATCATGACAGGCTGTAACGAGGCACTAAGTTCGTGCATGTAAGGTAGTTTCTCAGCAAGAGATAGGTTGAGAGACAACATTGGTAGCATGACCCTGCATATCCCGGCGGGAGCGGTCAGGCGTTATTGAAGTACCACCGGCTGTACAGTAGGATATAGAGACACTAGCGCATCTGCCTCTTGTGCTCCTGCAGATTCCCGTAGCTTGTTGTAAAGTGCCACTGACCTCTCCATACCTCGATTGTGGCTAACCATCATCGCTCTCATCACACTACTGGTCGTCTACGTTCGCGAACCCGAATAACAAAGAGTGTAACATGGCCTCCGCCAGGAAACGGTATCCGTTAGCCCCAAATACCGATGCGGTTGAGGAAACTTGTCGCATTGGATATACCACCATCGGGAATAAGACTAAATTGTGCCCGAACATGCCAACTCTGTGAGGCCCGATATGACGCTTGAAGTCACACATATTCTACCGCACATCGCTGCATAACCTATGACAGGTGCTAACGGAAATTCGTCATTCTACTTTCAATGTTTCGGTCACAGGGAGCTAATAGGGGCAGTGGCCACAATATCCACAGTTCTCAAGTGAACACGCCGTGTAATCTTTCACAGACTCATCGCCCGAATCTGTTCCATGGTCGCGAATATCCGCCGCAACACCTAAAACAACATGTGCGCCGGAGCCGTCATCAGAATTGGAAGGGTCCCCATCCTCGCGACTCGTCCTCTCATTGTCTTCAGGCTTTCCCATCCACCTAGCTTTCAGCTCAGAGGGAAGAGCTTCTAGTCCGTCGTCTGCTTGCCGCCTAATCTCTAAGATCCTTGATCCTCGTCGGCATATTCCAAGATTAGTCCGGGAAGTTCTAGCGCACTCAACCAGCTCATGCAGCAACGATGCAAGTGTGCAAAGGTTCTCGGCGTTTTCCGCTTCCCACTCCTTTATTTTCGTACGTATGTCCTTAATACGGACGTCTTCAAATAAACCAGGATCGTGAAATCCGACAATAAGTGTTGGAATGTGGGCAATCCAGAGCCTCGGGAGGATGTCGGTCAAGTCGATTTCCTTCTTGATCTTGCGAGTTTCGAAGTCAAATGCAGACCGTGTCTTAATGTCGAAAATACTCTCCTGAGCAATCGGTTGACCGCCTTTTTCGATATGAAGGCTTTTGTGGACCCTCGTTCTCACATCGCCAACCGATGCTCTGCCGAGCGCTTCGACCAAGGAACTTTCCTTCAATTGCAGGTCAGAACTTTTGACTTCCCCTCGAAAGTACTCGTCCGTTTCAAAACCAACTAACAAAAGCAATCCCCCAAAACCATATTGGATGATTCTCTGATGAGACTCAGACCGTTTCACATGTTTTTCCCACGAGGTGTATTCCTCGAGGAAGGTATGGCCATAGCCTCGGACATTAATTATCAGCTCCGTCGGAGAATTCTCTCTGCGGGTGAAGAAAACAGTGTTCCCTACCCTCACCAAGACAATCCTAAAATCTTTTTCAACGCCACGGACAAATCGAGATAGGTTTCCCAATGCACTGGTGCAACTGACAATGTCGATATCTTTGGTGGGAAATAGTGTATGCTGTTTGAACAATGCTTGAACTGCTGGCTCCATGGGGTAGCTTGAGTATCGAGCCGCATTCGGGTCCCGAAAGTATTTGCCTCTATCAGGCTCAAGTCGACGATTTACGGAAGGCGGTGTCCAGGCAGGAGGTTGTCCTAGGTGAGGAGAGACCAGTCAGACCATGAGCCAAACTTGATGCAAGAATGATATGAGGGTACTGTACCAGGAATGATCACAGCCGGGTCCTCCGCATCGAGCCAACTGTAGGATGCGACATAATGACAGTCTCTGATCTGTGGATCGTGTGTGTGACGAGTAATGTCCTCTCGGGCAAGCTCAATGAGCAACTCGCCAAGGGGTGGTGATGGTATTTGAGGCTCGGGCTCCTCGGCTTTCCTCCATGAAAGGCCTCTAGTGCCGCGAACGGAAGAGCTTCTGAAAGACCTGGAGCCCCTGGAATTTCTACCAAACGCTGAGCTGGACATCCTGGAACGGTTTGATCTTCAATGAAGTGTCTGCCGTTGATGCTTGTCTGTTCGCATCTCGAGGTGGCTGCCTGCGGCGGGGTTTCTCGGGGCACAGGTTACACAAACGAGGGGACTCTTGCATAAAGACAAGGGATTCTATTTGTCCATGAGTTTACCACCATATTACATCCTCCAGGGAAGGCCCAGAATTTTTCGAAGTACTTCGAAGTTCACTCCAAAATCCATCTCTCCATCTAGATCTTTTAAACTGCACGCTATGTCGGATAGATCCGCAAGGTTATCAAAGTATTTAAGCCTCATTGAGAAAGGTGTGAGGAAGGTGGAGAAGGTCTCCGACACGACGCTCTTCCTGGAGGCATTGTGTAACCAGCCAGACCCGCTACTTTGCGTCGAGAAGCTCGTTTCAAATTCTCATGCTCTAGCGGCACTACAGAATAGTATTCGGTTTGACTCATCTACGAAATTTTTGAATGGACCCATGGAGTGTTTTCTCACATACCTGAGAGCCCCTGGCATAGAACAACTCTGCAATGGCCAATTCCTTCGGAAGATCATTTCTTCCTTGGTAGACCCTCCGACATTCTGGAACGCGTTCGTAAATGGGCACAACCAACAGGTCCTAACCGAGGCTTCTCAGGTTGCATTTGCGTGGATGCTGTTGCAGTTGTTGACATCACCCTCCTGTACGGACGAGATCTACGAAACGGCCAAAGCTGCCATTGAAGATCGCTCACTTCTTGATTCTCCCTCCCTCGAAGTCCGAACACTCGGATACAAGGTTCAGAATATCCTGAATATCAGATTAGCGGATCTTTCCCAGCTTGGCGATGATAAGCCGGGGGGAAGACATGACAATGATTTTGATGATTTTCGAAAAATCTCCATCCTTCCCACTCCAGACGAAATTGCATCCACGGAACAACCATTTTATCGAGAAGCACAACAAATATATGACGTTGAGCCAGAGCTTCGCCCTGGGATGCATTACGACAATCAATTCCGCTTGTTGAGGGAAGACTTTTTGGCGGAATTACGAAATGACTTGCAAATAGCTCAAGGGAGGAGGAAGGGAAAGAGATCCGCGGGATTGATCAGTGGACTTACTTTCAGCGGCATAGACTGCGGAACCGAGATGAAAAGAAAGCCCTGCTCGCTTACTTTCCTCTGTGAGAGAGACATTCCGCAGATGACTGGCCTTCCAACATCAGGGAGAATGGCATTCCTCATCAATAATAAGAACATTTTGAAGCACCAGTCTTTCGGGTGTTTGATGCAGGGCACCGATATCGTCGCATTCGCTTCTGTTGATCGAAACGAAAGCCTCCTTGCGGAGGAGATTCCAGTTCTTGCCTTACAGATAGTAGAAAGCGAGGCGATCACAAGGGTGCTCACCAGAGCCAAACAAGCTACGCCCTTTGACTTCATCGTGGTGGATACTGCTGTTTTTGCCTATGACTCCATTCTTCAAAGATTGCAGGAGAAATCCGAATTCCCTCTTTCTGACTGTTTGCTGTCCTCAGAGCCATCGCTGCAAAGTCTTGAGATTGATAGCAAACTATCAAGGATAGTCGAAAAGCTCAGAGCGACGCAAGGCCAAAACCTCCATCATGTCATCGGGACATCCAAAAAGGTTTCGCTCGATCAATCGCAGTTTGAGTCGCTGATGGTGGGTTTGGGACACTCGCTCAGCCTCATACAAGGGCCACCAGGTAGTTCTCTGCTCATCCTTTTGACAGCTTACGCGGCTAACTCTCTTAGGGACTGGAAAATCTTTCATCGGAGCTCTTCTCGCCAAAATCTTACACGATCATACCAACGAAACTATTCTGATCATCTGTTACACTAACCATGCTTTAGATCAGTTCTTGGAGGATCTCATGGACATCGGCATACCGGATGAGTCCATCGTTAGGCTGGGATCCAAATCTTCAGAGAGGACCAAGAAGCTTGGCCTAGCCGAGCAGTCTGCCCGTCGGAAGGGCGCTCGACTGCCATGGGGCTTCATTCACGAACTGAAAGACGAATTGCAAGATCTGGAGCAGAAGTTGAGACGCACCCTGGCACGATTCCACGAGGATGTCACGTACGATCATCTTATGCAATATCTTGAATTTGCGGACGATTCAAGCTTCTACGACGCATTTATCTTGCCGGAGCAGGACGATAGAATGCAGAGAGTAGGAAAGGGAGGTAAGAAAATCGGGAAGCATTATTTGATAAATCGTTGGTTGTATGGTCAGGACGCTGGGGTTTTTCAACACGAAGTCGAGGAAGAACAGTCCAATATCTGGAAAATGTCTCTTCAAAGTCGGCGAGAATTATTGAAGGTCTGGACGAGGAACATTCTCCGTGACCATCTGGAGGAAGTTGCACCTCTTTTTCAGGCTTTCAATCGCATACAACGCCAAATCGATGATTCAATCTACCAGACAAAGAACTCCGATATATTCACGACGAAACGAATCGTTGCTTGCACGACTACAGCTGCGGCAAAGTATACCCAAGCACTGGAGGCGGCCAAGGCCGGAGTCATTTTGGTTGAAGAAGCTGGAGAAATTCTTGAGAGCCACGTTCTCACTGCAATGACAAGAAATACGAAACAATTGATCTTGATCGGAGATCACAAGCAACTACGCCCAAAGGTCAATAATTATAATCTGACCGTTGAGAAAGGTGATGGATTTGACTTGAATAGGTCAATGTTTGAGAGGCTAGTGCTACAAGGCTATCCGCATACAACTCTTTCCAAACAACATCGAATGTGTCCCGAAATTTCCCAACTGGTTCGACATCTGACTTATCCTGACCTACTGGACGCGGAAAAGACTCTGAATCGGCCAAAACTTCGTGGGTTTCAAAACAAGGTCATATTTGTGAATCATGAACGACCGGAGCTTGACCTACATGGTGTTTCAGAGGCGGGAGACCCGACGACGAAAGCGAGTAAGCAGAATCCCTTTGAGGTTGAGATGGTCCTTAAATGCATCCGTTACCTTGGACAACAGGGTTACGGAACAGATAAGATTGTGGTCCTGGTACCTTACCTAGGACAGTTGCATCTTCTTCGAAAAGAGTTGAGCAAGAACAACGATCCGGTCTTGAATGACTTAGATTCGCATGACCTCGTCCGTGCTGGTCTCATTACGCCTGCCAGCGCAAAGATGTCAAAGCGTCAAATACTGATTTCGACGATTGGTAAGTCCTGTGGAGCATTCACAACGTGCGTGCTAACGAAAATAGACAATTATCAAGGAGAGGAGAGGGACATTGTAATTTCATCGCTCACTCGAAGCAACGACAGAGGAGACGTGGGATTCATGGCTGCACCAGAACGCCTCAATGTGCTCCTCTCTCGAGCGCGCAACGGACTGATTGTCATTGGAAATTTCAGAACCTTTCTCGGGAGCCGCAAAGCAAAGGCTTCGTGGCAACCTTTGTTTGACCTTCTAAACAAGAGTGGACACGTTTATGATGGATTTCCAATTAAGTGTGAAAGACATCCAAATAGAATGGCGATACTAAGAGAACCTGAAGAATTTGATACCGAATGTCCCGATGGAGGCTGTGCTGATCCTTGGTATGGCATACTCTCCTCCTCCCAGTCAAAGTTTTGCTAACAATTTCCGAGTACAATGACACTCCGGTGTGGTGTTCACGTCTGTCCCCAAAGATGTCACCAGCTCTCTGACCATTCGAAAGTGGACTGTTGTAGCATTGTTGAAGGCACATGTTCAAAGAAACATAAGTACAATTGGAAATGTCACAAGGGTGCACCAAAAGTATGCCCTAAATGTGAACGCGAGAAACAGATTGAGGAGCAACGAAAGCAACGAGATTTTGAGTTGGAGCTCAAGCGACAGGAACGCCAAAACCAACACGCCAGGCAGCTGGGGGAGATCCAGCAAAAAATCGAGGACGAGAAACAAAATATGAAAGACATTGCCGATGACAAAGAGCGGCAAAGCGTCCTTGCCCAAAAGTTGCGAGACCTGGAACAGATACAATTGACAGCTAAGCGTGCCGGACAGTCTCTGCCTCATTCGCAGATGCCTTCCGATCCTTCACCAAGTTCACCTAGCAGACAATCCACTGCCGGTGAGTCTCAGACTCAAGACTCGGCGCAAATCAATCACCCCCAGAGTTCACAAACTCGATCCCTTGGATCTGAATCTCGAGATGAATGGGAGAGACAGAAGGAAATGGAAGGTCAATCTAATACTAGTCTCGACGCGCTCATGAGGATGACTGGCCTCGAAGAAGTGAAAAGCAAGTTTTTATCTATCAAAGCAAAAGTGGACACAGTTGTTCGTCAGGGTACGAGCTTGAAGGATGAAAGATTCAATGCAGCACTCTTGGGAAACCCTGGAACAGGTATGTGCAATCACTCATGTATTGCAAGCCCTCATCTTGATTATCGAACCCCTTCCGGAGGAGTAAAATCTTACTGTATTCAGGGAAAACCACTGTAGCCCGCCTGTATGCCAACTTCCTGTTTTCTGTGGGAGTTATTCCTGGTGACTTGTTCATTGAGACATCCGGCTCTCGATTAGCGAGCGACGGAATTCTGGGTTGCAAAAAACACCTTGAAGAGATTTGCAACAGTGGCGGCGGAGCGCTGTTCATTGACGAAGCTTATCAGCTTGTTTCTGGAACAAATCATGGAGGCAGTCAAGTACTTGATTTCCTTCTTGCAGAGGTCGAAAATCTTACCGGAAAAGTCGTTTTCATTCTTGCTGGTTATAGCAAGAATATGGAGGCATTCTTTACACATAATCCAGGAATTCCCAGCCGATTTCCCGTCGAATTTCAATTTCGCGACTATGAGGATGTCGAACTGCAGCATATTCTTCGCCATCGAATAGAACGAAAATATGAGGGAAGAATGAAGATTGAGGGTGGCATTGATGGTCTGTATATTCGAATAGTCTCTCGACGCATTGGACAGGGTCGAGGACACGACGGGTTTGGCAACGCCAGAGCAGTTCACAACGAATTCTCGCGAATAGCTGATCGCCAGGCCAACCGACTGCAACAGCAACGCCGGGAAGGATTTCACTCAGACGACATGGTCTTGAAGAAGGAGGACCTGCTCGGCCCAGAGCCTGGTTTGGCGCTGAAACAAAATGTTGCGTGGAGAAAACTCCAAAAGTTGACTGGACTGCAAAGCGTCAAATCCGCTGTTCAATCACTCCTGGATACAATGCAGTTCAACTATCGCCGCGAAATAGAGGAAAAGCAAAAGGTTGAGTATTCTCTCAACAAGGTCTTTGTGGGAAATCCAGGAACCGGCAAAACCACAGTGGCAAAATTATATGGTCAGATACTTGCCGACCTGGGCTTCTTATTCAGCGGAGAAGGTATGAATTACCCTATTACCCCGAACGAGCTACCAAGGAACTGACAAACTCTAGTCGTCGTCAAGAACCCCTCTGACTTTGTGGGAAATGTGCTCGGTGCATCTGAAAGTACAACCAGAGGGATTTTGGCCTCCACTGTAGGTAAAGTTTTGGTCATTGACGAGGCATATATGCTTTACGGAGGCTCTTCCTCCACGGAGGGGTTATCAGCATCAGATCCGTATAAGACTGCTGTCATCGACACTATCGTTGCGGAAGTGCAGAGTGTCCCAGGAGATGACCGTTGCGTACTGTTGCTCGGTTATAAGGACCAGATGGAGACCATGTTTCAAAATGTCAACCCAGGCCTCTCCCGCCGGTTCCCGTTGGATTCGGCTTTCTACTTCGAGGACTACACCGACGATGATCTGGAGAAAATCTTCGAATTGAAGTTGGGACAAATCGGTTTCGACGCAACCCAAGAGGCAAAGAAGGTAGTGCGCGAACGCCTTCGCCTGGCTCGTAACAAGCCTCATTTTGGCAATGCCGGCGAAGTTGATATTCTTCTGGATCGTGCAAAAATGGAGCATCAAAAGCGCTTGTCGTCAAAGCAAACAAAGAGTATTGACACCCTCGAGACTCTCGATTTTGACCCGGACTTTAGTAGAGCAGAAGAGGCCCCGACTAACTGCAGAAAACTCTTCGACGGGGTTGTTGGGTGTGAAAGTTTGATTCTCCAGCTTGAGGGCTACCAGAGAAGTGTGATAAATATGAAGAAGCTGAACATGGATCCACGAGAGCAGATCCCGTTCAATTTTCTGTTCCGTGGTCCACCCGGTGAGTCCGCAGCGTGACACGTGAAACAAGTCTATGGCTGACGCATCTGGAACAGGCAGTGGCAAAACCTCTACAGCGAGACGAATGGGGAAAGTGTTCTATGACATGGGATTCATGGCCAGTGCTGAAGTGATTGAGTGTTCTTCCACGGAGCTCGTTGGGCAGTACGTCGGCCAAACAGGCCCCAAAACCCAAAAGTTACTAGAGAAAGCGCTGGGTAAGGTTCTCTTCATTGACGAAGCATATCGACTTGCGGATGGCCAATTTGCGCAGGAGGCCATGGATGAACTAGTCGACTGCCTCACTAAGCCCAAGTTTGCCCAGAAGCTCATTGTCATTCTAGCTGGGTACGACGAGGACATCAATCGGCTTATGTCAACCAACCCGGGCCTGACCAGTCGCTTTCCGGAAACTATAAGCTTTGGCCACCTACCGCCGGAAAACTGCCTCGAGCTGTTCCAAGCATACATTCGCAAAGCAGGAAAGATCGAAAGTAGTGCTGTACAAGCGCCTTCTGCAGCATTTAAAAATACCCTTCTCGAGCTGTTCAAGAATCTTGCTCAACTTCGTGCCTGGGCTAACGCCAGGGATGTCAGAACACTAGCCAACTCTGTGATCAATAAGGTGCTTTCCAGTACAGGGACTGATGCCGGGTTCGAGGTCACAGAGGATGTGGTCCTTTCAACAGTACGCCAAATGGTCTCCGAGCGTGAACTCCGTGGGAGCTCAGTACGTTCTCGAGCACATCCTACGCTTGCAACACAGGAATTATCGAAAGATGCACCCATACCTCCTGCCTTCAATACGGTGACTAAGACTGCCACTGATGCTGACCAGTCATTACCTCCTCCATTGCAGGAACCACCATCACAGAATCTTGAGCAGGAAAATCTCGGTCGCGACCCTGGTGTCTCTGAGGAAATTTGGAATCAACTAAAATCCGACAAACAAGCTGATGCAGAATGGGAGAAACAGTACCGCGAGCTCTTGGCCCAAGAAAAAAAGGCTCAAGAAGAACTGACTGCGAAAGTAGCCGCTGATATGGAGGCGAGAAGAAAGGCAGAAGAGGAATCTGACGCAGAGGCTCGTCGCTTGCTCGAGGAGGAGCGTCTCAAGTGTGAGCGTGAATGGCGCGAACGGATGGAACTAGTGGCGAGGATTGAGCAGGAGAAGAGGGCAAGAGAACAGCAAAGAAGGAGAGAGGAGGCCGTGCAAGCCAAGTTGAGACAAATGGGGGTGTGTGTGGCAGGGTTTCGGTGGATCAAGCAAGCTTCGGGTTACAGATGTGCTGGGGGTACTCATTATCTTTCTAACGCGCGACTTGGGATTTAGGTATCTTTCGGATGTGGCCATACTGGACCAGAGGAGAAGCCGATTTCTCCGCTGTGCCTGGAGGACGTGTAGTCATCGCAATGAAGCAACGAATAGTCGCCCGCCAGCATCATTTAACTAACCCCACTTTGTCAACGGTTTGTACCGTATAACGTTCCAGAAAGGGATAGATAATAGCCAACAATAAGCATGACTAGCTCCTGTTTTCATTACTGCATTTCGAAGCGTTGTTTTGGCGTGGGTCATTAGTTAGAACATACATATACTTCCCGCCGATGACCTGATACGTCGACTCACGATCCTGGTGGGACGATGATGAGTTCTTGATTATACTTCTCCAGAAGGTCGACTAAATATATGACAAAATACGAAGAAATTCATGCTTCCCAGAAATTTAAAATTCCCATTTACATCCGTGGCAACGAGTCTTGGGCTCCTATCAACCAGATCCATGGTCAGCGTTGCACACTATTCTGTAGTCCCCTCGTGCTCTTGTTTGCGCTCCGTCAACAACGTTTTAGCAGTCTCAGCGGCAATCACTATAGCCTCGTCCTTAGACACACATCCCTCCACGTGGGCAAGAATTTCTCCATTCACAGTAACGGTGCAGCGATAAGATGGCATTGAACTATCCCCCTCGAGATCAACAGTGTACAAGGCGGCATCTGACCCAGAAAGGCGTTGAAGTGCGTTGCGTGGATGCTCGACGACAACACAATCTGCCAACACGCGCTGCAAGTATTGCGTCAAGCCAAGGCGCTCGAGAAAGCGGTGACATGGCGCCAGGTCTCCCTGGGAGTCGGTGAATATGGCGCCCGTAATACTTTCGATGATATCGGAAAAGAACTTGGGTGGGTTCAGCCGAGCGAGTAGGGTCCATGGGTAGGAGAGACTGGTTGCCAAGGAGCCGCGAATTTCCCCTTGCAACTGGCTGTAGAGTGCAACGCTGCGTCCCTGTGCCATAGTCACTTCCTGGCTGTGGTGGCGCATGAATTTCCACAGGTGTAATTGCTCCCGGACTGTGGTTGTCTTGAACACACCTAGTGAGCTCTGCTCGACGTTAACCATGTCTTCGTCAATGCTGAGTTCCAGGCAAAAAAAGCCGAGAAGGTGGCTGTTAACCATGGCAGACTTAATCCGCGTCATCTCACCCTGAGATATGTTCTGCTTGGCTAAGAGTCCGGCAACCACCATGTCCAGGACGGCATCTCCGAGAAATTCGAGTCGCTGATACGATTCCGTCTGGCTGTCCCTCTCGCATGCAGGGTGAGTTAAGGACTCGAGTAGAAGTGTTTTAGTCCGGAACCCGTGACCAATGACACGTTCTGCTTTGACAATATGGTTTGTCAAACTATAACTACTGCCGTCAGTTAAAATTCTGCCATTAGGTGCTGGCAGCCGAACATGGATCTGGGGCAGGAAGGTGTTGATGCAGATCAGGGCAAGGCGGAATCCACCATCTAAGTATGCAGCACCAATTAAAGCTTCGACGACATCTGCCAGGACCTTTGAGCTAAGATTCCGTTTCTGTGGGCGTTGACCACTCTCGATGGTGGACATACCGGGGAGCGTTTTACCCCAGTGCGTGTCGGCTCTGTCATGATGAACGCGTCTAGACCCACTCGTATCGCAGCATGAGCAAGGGTGTTATTTGACAGAAGACCCGCTCTGGCTTGCGAAAGATAACCCTCGTGCCAATTGGAACGTTCGGTGAAAAGTTGTCGTGTAGCAATGAACTTGAGCACGGAGTCGCCAATGAACTCCAGTCGTTGGTAGTTGGAAATCCACTGCGCTGAAGGAGAGCTAAGCGCAGTGACAACGAGTCCAAGATCATTAAAGCAGAGGGTGCTGAGAATAGTTGTGCATAGTTTCTGCGCGACCAGATGGACCTCCACTTGCTGCAGAATGCCTGGGATGAAAAGACCGAAGCGAGCTTGGTCGAACGGGAGGCAGTCGATGGTTGCATCTTCTGCAGGAAACTGTAAATTCTGTGGTGAGGTTGCCACCTGCCTTCCTGGCGATTCCTGCTGGCGCAACAGCAAGTCCTGAGACTGCGTCGCTCGATGGAAGAAGTTCCTTCGCCTAGGGAGCTGCGCGCATTCAACCTCTAGCTCATGAGGCATCTCATGAACGATCCACCGTTGGAATATGCAAGGTCTACCAAAGAGTGATGGCGTTCGTACAAAACCCGGGCAAGGGGTTAATGGTTCTCTCCTGAAGTAATCACATGCCGATATTCGACCCTGGTTCGCTTCGAGCCACTTCACGAGATGCCTGTTTTCGATCCCAGGCGTGAATAATACTATGAAATCGCCTGGATCGTCTTGGTAGCGGTCTGAATGCACAGATCGCTGTATAAGGCTCGTGGCCGATCTCATGGCCTTGAGAGTCTGGGTTCCGCACAACGCAACTTTGACCGGACTTCCCAGCTTGATGGTGAAAGCGATGGTTCTATCCCAATACATCGTGAAAGGCTCGATAATCGGCGATGCTGACGGAGTCAGGAGGGAAAATGCGAGATCACTTCCACCATCAATTCCATCATGCTGTAGAGTGATCTCGATTTTGTGGAAATCAGGGGATAGCCATGCTTTGGCCATTTCAAACCAGGGGTCTAATTGTCCGCTTACCTCCACCACGGCGGGAAGTTCATTGGCTGTAGCTGTTGACAGTGCCTTTTCGTGCGTGAGAGGAAGAAGATGATCATTCAAGAGACCTTCTTGAAACAATCGCTTGTATCCTTGAAAGGCAGCATCTTTCATGGCAGCTTTTCTAGTTTTCCACTCCTGGTGGCCTTTGGTACACCTTGCGGAAGCATTGATGCAATTGGGAAGAGTCACTGTCGCAGTGAATGATTTACCCACTGGATGCTCGATAATTTCAAATATGGGGCGGTTGTCCACGTAAGGTTGATGGGGCAACAATGCACAGAAGTGATACAGATGTGCCATGGCGCCATCGGCATCCAGTTTCGCCCTTGATTGAACGGTCAGGGCATCAGCCATGAGGAAAAATTTCTGAAGAGCACCTACCCCGTAGAAGGAACAATGATCTCAAAATTTACGTCTTCGGTATCTTCCTCGTTGGTGCCATCTTGTAATGATCTCGTTTCATCTTGGTATAAGTGAATCATTTCTTCTTCAAGTCGTTGCCAGGATGGGATTTTGTTCACATTCTCAACATCCCCTTCCAGAAGTATAGCGAAGGTCGACTGTTCCTGCCTAGCGCGTCCCCGTCGTTGCAGAAACGACTTGAGGTTTGATGGAGCATCAAAGCAGACTACTAGATTACAGGCAGTGACGTCGATCCCTTCCTCCAGCACATCAGTCGCGACGATGAGATTCTTGACTTTAGCTTTGAAATCGGCCAAAGCCTCATGCTGCGCTTTCAAGTCCAACAATTCAGACATCGCGTATCGACGTTTGGCGTTGTTTGACAGACCGACGAAAGTCGTGCACCGAAAGAGGTCTCTTGTTCGAGGCTCCCGCAACAGCAGCGCGTGTAAAACGGCAACGGTAGCTCGTTCCTTGACGAACACCAGGCCGGAACATCTTTCGGGATCTTGCAGGGTGAGAAATGATATCAAGCACTCAACTTTGGTCGAAACCTGCATACTTGCTCCATGTTGATGGCTGTGGCTGGATAGAAGCAACGGGATCGGATTCAACGCTCGAAGCAACTTTGTCTTCTCGTCGTCCTTGAATACCAATAGAAATCTAGATCCGCCGCTGAAGCTTTCGCTCAATGTCTTGATGGACTCCAGTATGAAGAAATCCGTGGCCCATGGCCCAAGCTCTTCATAAACCATATTGGCTTTCCTCCTGAACTTGATCAATTGTTCCTCATACCCACCACTTGAAAGAGGCATCTTGGCGCCCGGTTGGCCTGCTTGCGCACACTGTTCGGCCTGAGGAACGACTGTACGACAGACCTTTCTGAGGAGAAACAGCGCCATGCTTCGAGGGGCAGCTTCGTCGGCCTTATGAGAACAATACACAAGATTTTTGATCACCGGTCTGTTTACAAACTTTAACATCTCCACTCTCTGTAAGCGAGGGGTGCGACAGATTGAGTCGAGGTTTCTTTCAATGATCCTGTAAACGTTAGGACGGATGTCTCTAGCCGATTTCGATATTCGATACTGACTCTAGATCACGGGCCTTGCTCCTCACTACCGGGCTGGCGGTGAGGCCGAGGATATGGGGAACTGAGGTTGGCCCAAGCAGATCCTTCCGCGGGTGGTAGAATTGTTGCATGATCTTGTTTGCTGGGTGCTTTTTCCTACAGTGGTGGGCTTTTGGGGGATGAGTTTCATTGCTTGATGCAGTTCAAACGATATCTACCGAGTATGAGAACCGCCCAGAGGTGAACTCACCTTCGTCAAACACCAGGAGTGCTAGCCGTGATATCGGAACGTAGCCGTGTCCTAGCGCATCAAGGAGGATGGCGTGCGTCGAGACAACGATTCGCACATCAGTCAACACTGCTTTCCAGATCTTATCTTCCCAACAATCAAGATTGTCCGAGCCGATCAGCAGTCTTGTCCTTGCGGCTGGTAATTGTGCTAGAATGGCGTCGTGCTGCTGAGTGCACAAGGCCACGGTAGGCGCCAGAAACCAGACCACCTAAATTAATCATGTCTGTATCAACGCAATGACGACATATTCTGCAGGGGAATCATTCACCTTTTCAGGAGAACAACGCTCAAGCTCTTCCATAATTCGCATGATCGCTCTGAACATTCAGTCAGCAAGGCCAACTTGGCAATTGGTTCTCAAATTGAGAGGGTTTCGTTCAACAATTATCAAACAGACATTTGTGTTTTTCCACTTCCCGTGTCCATCTAATTATCATAGTCAGTCGAATTGAGACATAGGAATAAATGTTTCATGAAATTTGGGTACCGCAATTATGATGTTCCCTGCAAGGCTCTGCTCGAGCATCTCTAATTGATAGCTGCGAGCTCGATACAACGATTGAACAGCCCCAATCGAGCTTTCGCCAGAAGAAATTCCTGACATCACTGAAGAGAGTCTCGACAAAAATGCAGAAGTGAAGTAGGATTGACATTGTTAGGAAGGCTCCAAGGCTCCCTCATATGTTGGGCAACAATGCACGTGTCTGTGTAACCTAGAAGTTGACCCCGCCGCGGGGTAGGTACAAAGGTACTTTAGGTCTTTCGTTCCATCGAGACGATTCTTTCTGTAGGTTGACAACGGCTTGTCTGAATATGTCTGGAGATCAATCAATCCAGTCTCGTGGTCGTGGTCGCGGGCGCGGTCGTGGCGACACATCCTTGCCTTCCAATTTTAGGGGCAGGGGAGTTGGACGAGGCGAGGGCACTGGACCAGGACGTACTCACGGCCAACCAGGGCAGTCTCCCAACCGCGGAGACCCCTATCACTCCCGCCCTTTTCAGGGAGGGCATCGAGAAAATCGCGCAAGTGGCGGAGATGGTTTTATGAGAGGGCGTGGAGGGGCCATACGGCCTGAGGTGACACTATTTTCGTATGGCGCACCCCACTTGTTGAGCTAAGAGCACTAATATCTTTCTTCGATATCGGTCATAGACCAGGCGACACTGCCGAACCGAGTTTGAGCATCAAAACCCTTGAGAACGAGATCGAGACCAACATCTCACTCTTGCGTACAAAGTCGTCTTCCCTTACAACGAGACTGCCTCCTCGCCCCGGCTACGGAACACAGGGAAAAGAAGTTATATTGTGGACAAACTATTTTGAGCTAGTCTCGTACGGCAACCAGGTTCTGCATCGATATAGTATCGTTATCCTGCCAGACCATTCCGGGAGACGACCCGCCGGCAAGAAAGCCCGACGGCTGGTTGAACTGCTACTCGAGGAGCATCTTTCTCAGTACGCCACGCGGATTGCCACGGATTTCAAGTCAAATCTTGTTAGTTCTACCGAGCTGGACATCACTGAAGACAGCTACGATGTCGTGTATCGGGTCGAGGGCGAAGACGATGCCCCGGCTAATGCTAGACACTACCATATCCGCCTCCTGCGCACTGGTTCTTTGACGGTCTCTGAGCTGTTGGATGACCTAACCTCAACCAACGCCACGGGTTTGTTTGGGTCCAGAGAAGAGATCATCCAGGCGTTGAACATGGTTGTTGGAAATCATCCCAAAGCAGCATCACATATTGCATCCATCGGTTCGAACCGGCATTATGGGCTGACCGCGGCAGCATCTGACCGAAAGACATTGGGTGCTGGGCTGGCAGCGATCCGGGGATTTTTCATCAGTGTTCGAGCCGCCACTGGCCGTCTACTCTTGAATATTCAAGTTAAGAACGGGGCTTTCTATGGAGATGGCCCCCTCGAACGACTCATGGCCGCTTATTTGGAGAGTAATGGACACAACCTTGTAAAACTTGCTAACTTCATCAAGAAACTCTCGATCAACGTTACTCACATCGTTCGGAGGAACAGCGCTGGTCGCCAAATACCTAGATTCAAGGTTATCACCGGGGTCGCCACCAAGAATGATGGTTTCGCCTTATCTCATCCACCTATTGTAGGTGGATACGGAGCTGGGCCGAAAGATGTCAGATTTTGGCTAGAAAGCACGAGCGAATCGTCGTCCGCCGCCACAGCTAGGCCAGGTACTGGCACTAAGTATAAGAAGAAGGCGCCCAAGTTAAGCCCGGTGGCTCCTCCTAATGGGCGATACATCAGCGTCTACGACTTTTTCTCCTCCGGTGTGGAAAGCCTTCCAATCATGGGACCTTACGCTAATGATCGCTAAGAACACAACATCATGATCAAGAACCCTCACTTACCAGTTGTCAATGTTGGTTCGAAAGAAAAGCCCTCCTATTTACCCGCCCAGGTCTGTCTGGTCATCCCCGGCCAGACCTCGAACGCGCAATTGAGCCCTTTCCAGACGCAGCAAATGATCCGGTTTGCGGTCCGTAAACCAGCACAGAATGCACAATCCATTGTCACCTCAGGGGCGCAGATACTGGGTATCGACAACTCGACGCTGGTAAGACCTTTCCAAGAGTATCTATCTTACCCTCCTCATAACTTCTACTAACTTGTCCAAGGACCAATTCAATATCGACATTAGACCTAGGTTGATAACCGTTCCAGGTCGGGTTTTATCGTCTCCCAGCGTAAAATACGGAGCACAAAAGTCCATACCTACCAGATTTGGCAGTTGGGACATGGGAAAGGCTCAATTTACCACTAAAGCAACACTGAAATCGTGGACATATCTTTGGATTTCATCGCCGTCAATAGTCGATCCCTGGGCCAATGAAGGAGAGTTGCAACCTTGCGTGACAGCCCTCACCTCTAAGCTGCTCGAGCTGGGTATCAATTGCAATGCTTGTATGAGAGGCTTGCGAGCAGTAATTACCAGTGAGACTGTCGAATCGGCAATCGACCGGGCGTTTCACAGATTTACATCAAGTCCTGGCAGGTCTCCGCCTACGCTCGTGCTTGTCATCATGCCGTCAGTCGACTCGGCAATCTATAATCGGGTCAAATACGCATGTGACGTGAAAGAAGGGCTGATCAATATCTGTGTCACTGCTTCCAAATTTGCGAATGCAAACTATCGTTACCTTACCAATGTGGCTCTCAAATTCAACCTCAAATTGGGTGGCATCAACCAAAGTCTAGAAACGTCGCAACTGGGTATCATAGCTGAAGCTAAGACTATGGTTGTCGGCATCGATGTCACTCACCCATCACCCGGGTCGTCATCGACTGCGCCTAGTGCTGTTGGTATTGTCGCTTCTGTCGACAAGTGGCTAGGACAGTGGCCAGCGGAGCTGGCGATCCAGACCGCGCGGAAAGAAACGGTCTCCGAGCTGAAACGGTTGATGAAATCGCGTCTCACGTTGTGGAAACGCCGCAATGGTGCGTACCCCGAGAACATTCTTATCTATCGGGACGGAGTATCCGAGGGACAATACAAGTTGGTCCTTGAGGAAGAACTCCCTGAAATACGTTCAGCTTGCGGGGAGCTATATTCAGCAACTCTCGTTAAGCAAGGGATACCGCGGATCTCCATCATTATTGTGGGAAAGCGACACCACACCCGATTCTACCCTACCAAGGTCGAAGAGGCTGATAACTCGTCCAATCCACAAAATGGGACCGTGGTTGATCGTGGCGTTACCGAAGCGCGTAACTGGGACTTCTTCATGCAAGCTCACAAAGCCATTCAAGGCACAGCCAGACCAGCGCATTACTACGTTGTCTTTGACGAGATCTTCCAACGTCTTAAAAGCCCCCAAGGCCGCCTGAAGAACACGTCTGACATCGTCGAGGATCTGACGCATAACTTGTGTTATCTCTTTGGAAGGACAACTAGTGCTGTCAGTGTCTGTCCACCGGCCTATTATGCAGATTTGGTATGTGAAAGGGCGAGATGCTATTTGAGTGGGCTGTATGATCCATCCACGGCAAGCTCCAGTGGGAGCGTGGTTGGGGGAGGACCAGCAACACAGGAACCTCAATCCAATATGGTGAAGTTACACGAGAATGTGCAGGATACCATGTTTTATATCTGAAGGAGAGATCAGGAGGCACTGTTTACCTTTGTTCCTGTGTTGACACGAACCATAGTAAAGACTGAGAAGTTCTTTCCCAATCAAGTCATATATCCTTGTGACTAATTTTATCGGCAAGGAGTCGAAGAATAAGACGAGAGAAAACCACCAACAAGCAGATTCCTGGTGTTTTCCTATAATCGCCTAGCCACTTCTTCCAGTCCCACTAGTTAAGATGCCACCGATTTTCCTTGTGTCCACCCCTAGCTATCCGAAACTGGTTTCCCATCATGCAATGGGAGTGAATTCGTAATGAAACCTCCAGGAACAGGTAGATAGTTCGCAGAGCTATATTTTGTTTGCCATTTCTGTGAAATGGTAAAAAGATTCCTGAGCATCGCAATAAAGTCACACAATGTACCTACAATCTTCCCATTTCCACTACTGACAACAAGGATAGAGAGTCGCTTTTGAGGTAAAGTGCCTGCCCATACTGGTCGTCGTGAGCAGGCTCTAACCAGTCTCGAGGTATGTCGTAACTCTCGTTGATTTGAAGATAACTCCCGTTCTTCCACATCCTTACTGGCCAAAATCCGTTTTGGATCCTGCCAGGGGAACGCAGGTGTGATTGGGCGCGAGCGTTCCCTTTTGGTGTCGGTGCGATCGGTGAAGAGGTGGAGAAATCGAGCGGTTTGGTTGTGATCTAAGGATGTGTGAGATTCTGCTTTGAGCTACTTC